GGGGCTATGGTAGTTCTCTTACCACCAGATCCTAAATCAGCCAGAGTTTTACTCATGGACTTAAAGAAATATCCAACCCAGTGGTGGGCAGAGCCCACAGAATGACTTGTAATAATAGTCTGACCCTGGAAGCCAGCTGTTTCTAAAGCTAGAGCCAGAGTTCTTTAGTGACATGAACCAATAAATTCCATGCCCCTTTTTGAGACTAATTTGTCTGCATTTTCAGTTACCTGTAATCCAGAGTGTTAATATACCACATTCATAAAGAAAGCATCTGCCTGTATGAATAATGATAGAAGCATTTGGATGAGAAGCAAGGAGGGGAGAGAATATCAGGACCACCCACTTAACAGAGAGAAAAGTTTCCTAAAGCATATCACCAAATTGGAGGACAGGCAAGATTTAGTCCTGCCTGACAGATATTTCTAACTAACCAAATGTCTGAACATCTTATTCTGGAAATTGAACATTTACTAAGTCTGGTTTCGCTTGGCTGACAATTTCATCTCAGAAATTTAAGAGGAAATGTTATTCTGTCATTATTCTGAGTCAGAAGGTAGAACAAGTTCTTTTTGTTTTGTTTTTTTTTTTTTTTAAATAAGGAAGGAACCTTGAGCAAAGACAACAAAGGGATTTGAAGAGTTTATTAAGTGCATTATAAGAATAAATTTCAAGAAGTTCAGAAGAAATCAGGAGACAGTACAATGGCCTCAGAGCCTAAAAGGGAAAGCAGCCCAACAGAAAAAGGAAGGAGCAATTCCAGAGCAAATGCTGACAGTTAACACAGGATCTTCAGGTAGGAAAAAGTAAAAAAATAGCCAAAGGTCTGCTAGCAATTAATCCTGAATGGTTCACAGCAGACATCATTTATCAATCACAGTACTTTATCCTGATAATCCTGACCTTATTCTCAGATTACCTTTGATCCGGTCCCCTCGTTGTTCATGAAGAACTGAGCAAAGCTAGGACACAGAATGACTCCATCTGCCATCAGTGGCCCAAGGAAACCAGTGTAACAACGCAGGGCTCTCTGGGAGCTCAGATTATAAAAGGACAGGAGCAAGAAATGACATGGCACAAATCCAGAAAAATGAGCCCACCTGAATGATAGCAAAAAAAGGATAAAGTCTAGAAGGAGCTGAGGTTTCTTTAGTAAAAGCAAAGCAAAGCAAAGCAAAAACAAACAAACAAAAAAACAACTTTCTATTTTTCTAAGAATTGAAATAAAGGGCAGGGCTTTAAAAAAAATATGAGACACAGGAACCTGTGCTTGGGGAAGATGACACAGCAAAAATAAAGCTGAATTCTTCAACTTCTGGCTTTAGCGCCATATGTTCATTGAGAAGAATGCCCGTCACCATGAAAGTGAAAACCTTTGTCAAGAGAGACTAAAAATCCAAGGTAGGGCGGAAGATGGGAAAGTCCAGCCTCTGGCAGTTGATCTCCAAGCCCCCGCTGTCAGCACACCAGGGTCCTCAGGGAACTTGGAGATGCACTCAGTAAACCTTTTGGACTCAATGAAAATATGAAAGAGGCCCAGAATATTGGATACTGACAAGCAGCAACCTGATTTCCAAAGAAGTGGGGGAAACAGATTCTATTAACCAGAAGACTGGAGAGCCTTCCACCAACCTCCCTCTACAAGAGGCTGAGCTGTATTCTTAGCCATGCAGAACTGAGAGCACGTAGGAAAGGAAGCACAGAGAAAAGGCAAATAACTTAGTAAAAAATGGGCAGAGGATAGATACAAGCAAGTCACTAAAGAGGGAATATAAGTGCCCAATGAATATAAAAGATCCCCGTTATCACAGAACTATATATAAAACAAGCAGATACTATATCTAGGTAGCAGCTCAGCTGACATGTAAAAAGTTGATAAAAACAACTATTGGTCAGTATTTGGGAAAAAAAGGACTCTCACTAGAGCAATATACAGCCTTCTTCAAGGGGCAAAGTGGTAGTACTGATTAAAATTAAAAACACATTTGTTGTGGGCCTCCCCGGTGGCGCAGCGGTTGAGCGCTGGGTTGTGAAGCTGCCCGCAGCCTCGGCGGCGCCGGTTCGATCCCCGGCTGCTCCCCAGCCACCAGAGGAGGGTCCCACATGGCGCGCAGACCTCTCCTGCCGCCCGCTGCTCCCCTCAGCAGTGTACTTCGGTCCTTCTGCCTGCTGTGCTCCCCGCTCTGGCTCTGGTGAATTCTCTCACCCTCCCGCGCTTCTGACTGTACCCAGTGCATGTATAAACAAAACAAACAAATAAATAAATAAAACATGCCTCTATTTAAAAAAAAAAAAAAAAACACATTTGTTGTTGCTAGTTTCTTTAATATGTGCCGTTCTCACTGGTGTGAGATGGTACCTCATTGTAGTTTTGATTTGCATTTCCCTGACTGCAAGTGACCTTGAACATTTTTTCATATGCCTGGTGGCCATTTGTATTTCCTCTTTGGAGAAGTTTCTTTTTAGCTCTTCTGCCCATTTTTTGACTGGATTATTTTCTTTGTTTTTTGTTGAGTCTCATCAGCTCTTTGCAGATTTTTGTGATCAGTCCTTTATCATTAGCGTTGTGTGCAAAAATGTTCTCCCAGTCGGTGGGGTTTCTCTTTGTTTTGGTTATTGTCTCTTTTGCTGTTGGCAAGGATGTGGAGAGAAAGGAACTCTCCTACACTGCTGGTGGGAGTGCAAACTGGTCCAACCACTATGGAGAGCTGTGTGGAGATTCCTCAAACTACTAAAGACAGAGCTTCCATATGATCCAGCAATTCCACTCCTAGGTATTTACCCAAAGGACACAGAAACATTAACTCCAAAGAGCACCTGCACCCTTATGTTTATAGCAGCACTGTTTACAATAGCTAAGCTTTGGAAACAACCCAAATGCCCAAAAATAGATGACTGGATCAAGAAGATGTGGTACATATACACCATGGAATATTACTCAGCATTCAAAAAAGATAAACGCATGCAATTTGCAGCAACATGGAAGGTATCATGCTCAACGAAATAAGCCAGAAAGAAAAAGAAAAATACCGGATGGTCTCACTCATAACAGGAATCTAGAAAACCTAAATAAGGGCCCAGGAAAAGAATAACTATAAGAAAGAAAAAAAATCAAAATCAACAAACAACTATGAACCAGTCACACTTTGGGGGGGGGGTCAGGGAAAGGAGGGATTAGGGTCAAAATCAGGGGGTTGCAACTGTATGGGGAATATAAAAATTTTTAAAAATTAATTAATTAAAAAAAATTAAAAACACATTATATTCTGACAAATCTGGAAGATTTACACATGCAGAAGCCTATAGATGGTTTTTCATTATAGACTACTTATAACAGTAAGAGATTAGAAAAAACAAACTCTCCAAAGTTTGGCACAAACTTAAATATCTAATGGTACATCTACACTAGGAAATACCACACAGCAATGAAAAATAAAGTTGATCCATATAGATTGATACAGGATGACTTTAAAAAGGTTATCGTCTATGTCTTAAAAAGCACAAATCTATATATTCTAAATGTGCATGTATGTATATAAATGAACAGAAAATAGTCTAAAGAATCCCCATTAAACTGATGACAGAGATTTCTGTAGAAAGGTAATGAGGATATATTTGCCTTTAACTTCTGCACTAAAATAAAAATGTCTTCATTTGCTATATATATTTACATATAGTTATAGATAACATATGTACAAATATATAATGAACAACAAATAGGGAACAGTGAGCATTAGGGACCAGCATGTACACTAGAGTAAGTCAAATCCACCCAAGTTGCCTTCTCCCAGAATGACGAAGGAAAAGCCAGTGTCACTGTGAACAATGCCAGCAGGCTAACGGCAGAACCTCTCCTTTCATCATCATGGACATGACAGAAAAATTCAGGAGATAGAGTCACACTTGACAGAATATCTACAGTTAACAGTTATAATTCTAGGCCCATGTGGAAACTGCCAAGTCTTTGATCCTGTTGTGGTCAATGAAATCATTCATTCTTTCAATCTCTCACTCACTTGACATTTCTGTATGTGTCACACATACAGAAAATACCACCCAACCTACCGCGTCGAAGAATACTGAAAGGTAGACAGAAGGAAATAAAACAACAAACCTCAGCATGACAAATGTTTGACTGAGGTATTATTATAGAAGCTCCAGAGGGTAGGGCCAGATGCCAACCTGGCCTCCTGAGGGAGGGTCACTATCTATACAAAAGTCTGCTGGCCTCAAGATAGAAACCATGAAGCTAGTACCTCTAGTACCAAAAATCACATACAGGTGAGTTGGAAAAGTTGACAAGTTAAAACACATCATGGGAAATCCATTTGCAGTCACTGATAAACATCCTGCCTTTAGGTTTCTGGTGAGTACCCTTTTGTTTCAAGGCCTCACTAAAAGAACAACATTTTAAGACAGTGAAGAATGAGGCCCGAGTCAGAAGAGTACTGACTGAAGGCACATGCTGGCCTTTCCAGGGCACCCTACCCTCTCAGCGGCCCTACCTCTGCTCATATTCCTCCTCTACTTCCTCTTAAGGAACTGCCAACAGACTCAGGACTATTTCAGGCTCCTTGATTATACCCATGCTCAGCCCACCTGAGAGAGGAAGCAGCTGGAAGATGGCTCCCAGGTTGGTCCCCAGCAACATGGTGGGCAGCCTGTGGTATGTTTCTGGTGAGCAAGATAATGCCTGCCTGTCCTCCTCGCTCCCCAGCCTGGTGCACAAGGTGGTCCCCTTCTAGCACACACCAGAGAAGAAAAACTGAAAACACACGTGCCACTTTCCATGACCAGGTAACATCAGGGAACCTTTCTATTCTGACAGGCAACATGTCAGCTCTGTGTGCCTTCTCCTCCCAGAAAAATTCATTGTTAAAAAGGGACTTGAAAGAGGGCAGTGCTTTACATGAGTAAACTCTTGGGGACCCAAGAGTTCTTATTCGAGCCCCCGTCTTAGTGTAGGGCGCCCTTTGACAGGAGCCATCCTCAGGACTGACCTCTTCAGTGATGATCGGGACAGCACCTGTGCAGCCTGGTTCATGGCCCGGACCCAAGCGTTCATGTCCTCCAGGGTGTCGGCACTGAAGTAGTAGGTCCTCATGCCCGACTGCTCGGCCTGAGAGCCCCCTGTGGAGCTATTATAGATGAGTGCTCGCATCCCCGTGTGCACAGCCTGGAAACAAGAGACGGAAACCCAGGTCAGACAGGTTAGGGAGACATCACTTCCAGAGGCAAAAACAAGGGAACAGCCTGGCCATGCTCTCCTGCTTCCAGACTAAAAGCCCAAGCACCACCTGGCTTGTTTGCACACCCGGAAAACGTCATGGGCTGGATTCCCTTCTTCATGTGACAGCTGTGTCTGCCCCCCACACTAAAAGCCACGCAGCTGTACCTGCTTCCTGCTTCTTATTTCTGCTTAGGGAGGGGCACACAGTCAAGGCTAGTGTGAGAAACAGACTTTAAAAACTAAATTCCTCATTTTTATGAAAGCAGCTCTCAGGAATCCCAGGTTCAGTTCTTCTGAAGCACAGATCTCTGCTTCGGCTACCATCAGACTGGAACTGAGTCGAAGTTGGCTGCAAGGGCAGGTGGCTTGGTGCAGAAGCTCGCCGTGCTTCACTTCTAGGGCAGGAAATGTGATGTGAGCCCATAAAAGAAGCTGTGCTCTGTCTCTCCAAAGGCCCTACAACATTTGACAGCTGTCTCACATCTGACTGAAAATCCTTGCATACATGCCTACTATGTGTTAGGAAACCTCAAGGAGCCTTCATATGTCTCCTTGCTAAGAGCCAATGAAGAGGTACTAGAAATGAGTCCTGAAAAGTAACTGAGTGGGAAAAAAAAAAAAAAGTAACTGAGTGGGATTGCAAATAAGAGGCAAAACCAGTTTTTCTCTTTGTACCCTGATAAGTAGGACATTTTAATTTAAATTTGCCAGGAAAAACATTTCCAAACCTACATGCGGAGGTGGTGTGGAAAGAGGAAGAATGAGTGCCTACTAGGTGTCCCAACAACTTCCACAACCACAATCTCTCATTTTAAGTCCAACAGCCTTCAGAGGTAGTGACAGAATCTTTGTTTCACAGGTGTGGCACATGAAGCTTTGAGATGTTAACTAATTTTCTCAGATTTGCAGACCTGGTAACAGACTCTTCACACCACTTAGCTCAACCTGGCATTATTTATTTTACACATTTGTTTAACATATGTCTCCTTCCTCTAAAATATAAGCTCCATGAGAACAAGGAGTTGGTTTTGTTCACTGGTATAGCTTCACGAACAGTGCCTGGCACAGAGTAGGTGTCCAGCAAATATCTATTGAATGGATGAAAAGTTGGAGCCAAGATTCACACCCAAGCCCAAATTTCTGTGTACAACATTCCCAGGTCTTTTTTTTTTTTTTAAGATTTATTTATTTATGCATACAAGAGCTGGGGTACAGGCCAGAGGTGCGTGTGTGTTGGGGGGTGGTGAGAGGATTCACCAGAGACAGAGTGGGGGACAGAACAGGCAGATTGACCGAAGTACACTGCAGTACACTGCTGAGGGGAGCAGCGGGCGAGTCAGGAGAGGTCTGCTGCGCCATGTGGGTTGCTCCCTGGCTGGGAAATCAAACTCGTGCTACAGAGGTTGCGGACAGCTTCATAGGTAGTGTCTTAACCCCTTGTGTCACCAGGGAGGCCCCGTTCCCAGGTCTTATCCAGAAATGAGTATAATTACCTGATCACTGCCCTGATAATGTAGATTCAGAATGAAAGGCTGACCCCATGCAAGGACCAGTCAGAGAAAACAATACAAGAGAACTAATTAAAAATTGCACAATAAAATGCTTCTAGAATCACTAATGGTCATGGATGAAATTTCTCAGATGAGGTGTCAGCCTTTACTTCTCCTACCCTCATTCTAACTTCCCAAGTCCAAAATGCAGATTAATTATGAACCTGTTTCTAACATTTGCACAGCTGAATCCATGCAGCCTGGTGTGAAGGTAACCCAGGCAAACCTGATTTCCTTCGTTACATGTCCAAGGTGTCATTCACTGTCCCAGGAAGGAGTCTTCCTGTCTTAGCAAGGGGGAGATGTGGCAATATGAAAAGGTTTTGGGAAAGGCACTCACTTGAGTAATCTAAGATAGTTTACTGAATATATTTTCTGGAAATTTTTAAGGACTCTGCTCTGGTTCCCCCTCCCCATTACTAGTTTAGAGAACTAAACATGAAATACAAGTAAGCCTGAACCTACCATGACTTGGGAAGTAGACACATTGTCAATGATCATGACACTTCTACTGCAAATGACTGCTCGCTCCCAGGTACCAGGCAGAACTAGCTGATGGTTAGCTTCCTGATGGATGCTCTGGATGAGCCAATCAAATGTGATAGAAACCATTTGTTCCTGACAACAGGAAGAAGGGTACCTAATCTGCCCATTGGGCTCAGGGGAGATTGCCTGGAGGAGGTGACCCCTAAGCAGAGAACTGAAGGACAAGTAAGAATTGGGGAAAGAGCAAACCGGGCTGTGGCTGAAGCTCAAGCAAAGTCCATGAGCAAGAAATGTTCTCGGGGGCCTCCCCACTGGCACAGCGGTTAAGCGCTGGGTTGCGAAGCGGCCCGCAGCCTCTGCAGCGCCAGTTCGATCCCTGGCCGAGAGGGAGGGTCCCACATGGCGTGCACACCTCTCCTGCCGCCCGCTGCTCCCCTCAGCAGTGTATTTCATCAGTCTGCCTGCTCTGCTCCCCGCTCTGGTGAATTCTCTCACCCTCCCGTGCTTCTGACTGTACCCAGTGCTTGTATAAATAAATAAATAAATCTTTAAAAAAAAATGTTCTCGGGCCTTCAAGCAACTAATATGACTGAAGGAAAGGTATGAGATGGGAGGGGTTAAATACTTATGTGGTTAGAGATAAGCTGGAGAGAGAAGCCAAGATCAGGCTTTAAGCTGAAGGCAATGGAGTTTAAGGTAGGAGTAGTACAACTTGATTACAAGCACAATTTAGGAAAAGTATGGAGGATGGATTGGAGGCTGTAGAGGAAGTAAAAGGCTGAAGCAGTCAGTGGTAACCAACACGTACAAAGCACTCACTATGTGCTAGGCTGTTCTATCAATAAGTTAGTGACCAGCAGAGACCAAACAGTGGCAGTGGAGAAGAGGAGATGGTTTTGAGAGATACATCAAAAAATTGAAAGGGGAGAAGAAAAGGGCAGTTCTTTCTTATTCTTTTCCGATCTCCTAGTAACCCCCATGCTAATACAGAAATTCTAGAATAGAAATACCATACAGGCAAAGGCTTTGCCTATGTTACATCTCCAGCATCTGTACCCTGCCGATTAGAACAAAAAAATGCAATAAAAGTTTGCCGAAAAGTTCAAGATTAGCGAAAAGCCATGTCTCTTGGCTGAGTTTCGGTCAGGATCCATAGCAAAGGGTTATAACTATTGCAAAGTATGGACCCTTTTGACAGTTTGGTGACTCATATAAACTCAGTATGTGTTGAAGGGCACAAATAAAAATAAAATATACTATATTGAACTATAGTTCAATATTTAATATTGAACTATAGTTCAATATTTAAGTTCAATATTTACTATCAAAATATTTTTCAAAGATTTATTTTTATTTATTTATGCATACAGGAACTGGGGTGTAGGTGAGAGGTGCGGGCGGGTGGGGGCAGTGAGAGATAGAGTGGTGGGCAGAACAGTCAGACTGACTGAAACACACTGCTGAGTGAAGCAGCGGGTAAGATAGGAGAGGTCTGCTGCACCATGTGGGTAGCTCCCTGACCAGGGATTGAACTCAGGCCTCAATGGTTGGTGATAGCTGACAGCGCTGAGACTAACCCCTGAGCCACCAGGGAGGCCCTCAAAATATTTTAAAATGTTGAAATATATTGATACAGTGCTTCATTAATAATGTGTTACATAACAAATCTAGCAGCAGATGTAATCGTTCTAATTTCAAAGTGATGATGAGCATAAATGATAGTTCAAGATATATGCAGCTGTCATGTGATATGAAGATATTTCTAGTTCCCACTGGTGACCAAGGCACAGATGCTGCTGGTACCTAATGTTGCCTGCATTCTTAATCAAGAAATGTGATAGGTTAAAAAAAAAAAAAGAAAGATGTGATTTATCTGCTGCCACTCGGGGGTTTGCAAACATCAGTCAGGAACATCTGGTCTTGAAAGAGGGAGGCAGTAAAGATTTTCTCCCCCATTGAAGATCCTCAGCTGTGCAGGGATGTTGGCTGCTACAGATGTTGGACCTGAAGGGCCAAGCTTGCTCAGAGGGGACAAACAGGCCAAGGGTGACTGTGCGTCCAATAGGAGCTTGTAAGGAGATGAACCAGGAGAGCACAAAAGGCCCACTGGGCGGAACAGGCAGAATGGCTCCTAGAGGCTACCAAGAGCCCTGCTTGGCTCATCCTGCAGATGTGGCTGAGCCTCAGGGCCCCTCTAGCACTCAGCCTTCCTGGCAGTGCCTAGGAGCTGCCAACCTATGGGCACAGCTGAAGACGACAGAAAGGAGAGGACCAAAAACCTTTTAGACTGTGCCTATCTAGCACTATGGATACTCTGCACATTCTCAGGGAAGGTATCCTAGCAAGAGACAAAGAATTTCATCTCTGAGAACAGAGAAGAATCAACATCAGAAGTAGTCATAAGGCCCAGGAGACAAATGTGTGCATTCCTCAGTATGCCCAAAAACATGGATCCTGAACTGACTTTGGGGCCCACTTTTTGGCCCCCAAAAGAATGATGTTGCAACCCAAAGGAAAAGGGAAATCCTTCACACTCAGGAAATCAGTCCTTTCTGGAGAACCAGCTGAACACCACTAGATCTGTCTGCAATAGTTTTTCTGTACTCTTAGACCCCAAAGACCACCGCATCCCCCGCCAAATACATGCATGCTTTCTGTCTCCCAGACAAGACTTCACAACTTGTGAAGTCTTTCTAAGAAACAGTCAAAAAAGGGGGGGGAAAGAATCTAAAGATGTTTTCCTAGAATCTATTTCACACCTCAGTGAAGTGTTAGGATGAAATATATACATATATATAGAGAGAACAAGTTACTGCGAGGATATTTCAAATGCTGGCCATGGGAAAAAAACAAAACAAAACACATACGTCATCATCATCCCAATTGCTTGCCGAATAGCAATGCTCAACTCTAAAAAAAGAAAGTCTGAGGAAGACTTTATGCCTACAAAAGACCAGTCTGAAGCCCCTTGAACAAAATGTTTTCATAGCCAGTAATAATAAGCAGAAGAGGTTCATGAACAGTACTGAATAGGAGGGTACTCCCCAAAATGATAGCAATATACATAAATTCAAATCACTCCCTACAATGTATGTGCAGGAAGTAACCAAAATAAGGTATGGAAGAAAAGCAGAGAGGAAGAGAAGGATATTGTGCCCCCTTCCTATAACACAACTGAATGAGACCAGATTTCAGGGTTGAGTTCTCTCCATCTTCCAGTTCGGTGACTTTGGGAGAGTTTCTTAAGTTCTCTGTTCTCTGTGTTCCTAATCTAAAAACTGCTAATAATAATGATTTTGCAGGTTCCTCACAAGCATTAAATAAGAGAACTTGTATAAAAGTATATCTCAAGTCATAAAAGGAATTACATCTATAAGGCAGTACTACTGATGTATCACACAACATGAAGATACCAGCATCTTCCACCCATAACAACTCTAGAGTCACTGGAGATGGTGAGCTGAAGAAAGAGAAGGGCAACTCAACCTGCTGATGAACCAAGATAAGGCATCAGCTCAGCAAGGAAATGTAGTAAGAAGATGAGACTAACAACCACACAAAGGGCTCTGATCAGACACTGATGCAAACTATCACACTGTGATGCACCATACCAGCACACTCCTTTCACCCGTTCAGGATGGTGGGTGTCTTAGCTTGTGTTTTTCCATAGTCCTTTAACTATTTGTAACCTTTGACTTCTGTTCAACCTCTGCTTTGGTACCTCCTGTCCCATATTCATCTTCTACTCCAACCTGGGAATAGCTGATCTGCAGGGGAAGCAATGGCAAGAGTCCCTTTCCCCAGCTTGAAATGCATGTCATTGCCTCTTGTCCTGAGCAGCCATGAGAGGGTATTTCCCCGTGGCCACTGGACTTCAGGGCCTCTAGTATCCAGCTGAGACTCCACTCCAAATGCCAATAAAGTCTACCTTCAAGTCACCCACCCTCACCATCCTGAGCACCACAAGAAAGAACAAGAAAGAGAACAGTGGAGACCCTGAAAGAGAAGCCCTCAGGGTTCCCCAGGTTTGGGACTGACCACCACTTTTCTGTAGCCTCCACATCTAGCCTCACAGGTGCCAGAGGACATTCAAGGATTGTCACTGATAACCATGGTTCCACTCACTCCAAATGGCAGGGGGACAAGGGAAACAGAAAAGGAATTTTGCTGGGGGCCTCCATTGTGGTGCAGGAGTTAAAGACACAGCACTATTAAGCTATCGCCAGCCACTGTGACATGAGTTCGATCCCCAGCCAGGGAGCCAACCCACATGATGCAGACCTCTCCTGTCACTCTCCCCTCAGGAGTGTATTTCAGTAGATCTGCCTGTTCTACTCCCCACTTTGTCTCTGGTGAATCCTCTCTCACCCCCCACACCTCTAGCCTATAACCTTATTCTCGTATGCATAAATAATCTTTTTTTAAAAAAGGGAATTTTGCTGGTAAAGTGATGTCTCTAGGGTTCATCCATGTTCTAGAAACAAACCAAATTTGTTTCTAATTGCTTTTCAACAAGATAAAGCCAACAAACCTGAAAAATTTCATCTATATACAAGCTCCTAGCCCTCAGTGCATTTTTATAATGCAATTGGCTATGAAACCATTATGGGGGATCATCATTTGCACTAAGTGATTGGTTACTAGTGATACTGACCAATTACCGTGGTTAAGAAAGAACAAGAAGGTCTGTGTTAAAAATGTAACCACAACACTAGTAGTGATAGGAAAGGAGGGGGGGTGCCTAAATATTTAAGCAAGGCTGGGGGATTCAAAAGCTCAGATAAAAATGAAAGTACTTGTGATGGAAAATTACTCTTGTTTAAAAATTGTAAAATTTTGTTAACATAAATCTGAAAGGCTCTATCTTCTTAACCTTTTCCCCCTCCCCACATAAATGACTTCTTTTATGAAGCCATATTTAGGAACACAAAGCTTCTTAAGATGGATTTGCTGCACTAGTGGAGAGGGGCTAGTACCTTAAATGAATACTTGCGACTTATGCGATCCTCAGGGGCCACTGGCGAGGTCACGTAGCTGGGCAGAGGGATGCTCCCAAGGACTGCTTCTTCTCGGCTGTCTTTGAATGGAAAAACACATCAGCGCAACCTTCTGGCACCTTCCTCAGACCAGTCCATTCTGCTGCCCATGTTCAGGGCCCCTCGTCTTTCCCAGGACTACCTCAATCTGATTGTTCCTCAGGTGCTCCCTGCGGACCTTTGTGCTACCACTGAAAATACATAGGTGGGTCAGACAGGCCCTCTCTCAAGGACACAGACAGGCATGGGTCACCTGTCTGCTAGCTCCTGAGACAGCCTCAACCTGCTAGCTCCTGAGACAGCCATAGGCCAGGTGCTGTAGGAACACAGAGGCAGGAGTGGAATGCCATCCCTGGGAAGTTGAGACTTCAGAAGGTGGAATTTCAGGATGGGGAGGTGCATCCTGGGTGGAGCAAGCCTCAGAGGTAAAGTCAGATATGTGTGAAATAGTCTGTGTCCTTTGCCATTTCTTTCCCTCTTCCAAACCATCTTTAGAATCACTAAATCACTTCCTCACAGTTAGTGTTGTCACTCTCCGACTCAAAGGCTAATTGCCCACTGGATACAGAACAAAACCCAACTTCCTCTGCCTAGTGTTGCCGCCCTCCACATGGTGGCCTTCCCCTCCTCCTGAACCTCATCTGCCATGAGCTTCCTCCACACTCTGACAGAGGGGTCTGTCATCCCCTTTTCTTGTGCTCTTAGAACTTTACTCAAGTTTCCTCTGCTTATAATGTGCATCTCTCTCTCTCTCTCTCTCTCTCTCTCTCACACACACACACACACACACACGCGCGCGCGTGCGCAAAAATCTACACATTAAAAGCACAACTCAAATCCCATCTCTTTATAGGGGACACCTCCCTAAATTCTCCAATATGGAATGAAGTTCTTGCTCCCCATGAACTGCCTAAGCACTCTGGATGTCTTCTAAAGCACCTATCAACAGTCTAGTCTTGTAAAAGCAAGCTCTCTCCTCCTTTATATTTTCAGCCACACTTTCATCGCTGCACAACCCTTTATGTACTGGAGCTTGATAAATGTTCACATGGCAACTCAACTCACCAGTTGCCCATCTGATATCACAGGGGATACATTCGGACAACAGGTTACAAGAACAATGGTTTGCCCATACTTTCCATCTCTCTAGATTGTGTCAGAGGTGTGCCTATGTCCCAAGTGGGGCAGAAGCTGAGATGACTCCAGACATTGAGACTCTAAATTGCAGGCATTTATCTACTTTAACTCAACAGGTGGAATTTCTTTTGCTGGGATTGGTAAAACTGATGTCACTAACCATCCACATATGTGCAAGTGAAGAGTTTGGCATGTCAGTGGGTTTTTAGTTAGCTCAGGCCATTGGACTTGAGAAGACCACCATTAACAACACCTTATCAACCCCTCCAGCTTGGTGGCCTGCCCCTTGGCTCACCTTTATAGTAAAACAAGCAGTAATCAGCCAGTACAAACCACCTCCTTTTCCATAGCCTCATCCCAGAACTGTCCTGCAAAGCAAAGAGAATGAATCAGGTAATATCTAAGCATACTGCCCTCCCTCTCCAATCATACATCTGATTCTGGAACTAAGACTTGCCCATACTTGTAGTAAATTAATGATTTTTTTAAAAATTACACAACTACTGTTTAAATAGAATGTAAGATTTAGGTTCAATGATAGTTTATCCCCAGGAAGCTTGTGTTTACTGGAACTAGATTTATTACAGCATCTTTTTTTTCTTTCAAGAAAGATGATGAAAATTTTAAAAAAAGGGCATTTCATTACAGAAGAAATCACCTTTTAATAAAACAAAGCAATTTATTTATACTATGCTATAAAATACCTTCATTTATACTTTAGAAAGTTGATTTACATAATGTTGAACAAAGAGTTTAAGTTAGCTCATTACCCAATGAGGCAAAATTCTCACTTGACTATAAACTCAGTTCTCTACCACAAGGGACTGATTTTCCTTCCATTCAATGTAAAGAGACTTGGATTTTCTTACTATCAAATTGTCTCATGGCAAGAATTTGTCATTACTCATCTCAAATGTAAGTCTGTACATTCTTAAAAACATTTTAGGTAACTGTGAAATTTTTTAAAAACATGGCCAGGGTAAGAAAATAGTTTCAGGATCCATTTCTTCTAAGCCTAGGAAAAATTCAGAGCTGTTTTTAATTGTTAAAGTTTATTCTATTCCTTTTATAAAAGTTTTTGACTAGCTTAAATCGAAAAATAAATTCCTGATATGTTTCTAAACCAAAACACAACATGAGTTCTATTCATCTTCTGCATAGTAAAATGCTAAAAACAAACTTGCTGAGTTCATGTCTTGTTTTTATCTTCTGCAATGTGACCAGATGATCTCTAAGGTCTTGGCAAATGATATTTGCTTTGCTTGAAAAACTCCTATCCATCCTTCTATACCTGTTCAAACATCACTTCCTCTGGGAAGCTTTCCCAGACTCTTTCAAATGCAGATACATACTGTGCTGTGTGTCCATGGCACTCTACACAGTTTTAAGTCACAGCACTGGGCCAGGGCTGTGGTTGGAAGGAGAACGATTTATAATCCCTACCCTCTCCCTCCATATTTCAAAGGGGGACTCGTGGTTTAAATGGGGATGGGGAAGCAATGCAAAAAGTCAGAGGGTTAGACAAGAGATGGGCGGAGGCAGGAAAAGAGGGAGAACAGAGCCATGAGGGCCGAGGGAGGGGAACACTGAGGGTGGTGCCACGGGTGTCTGACAGAAGAGTGTGGAGAGCTGTGGAAGCTGCCATAGTTGGGGGCAAACCTGGGGGAGGCAGATTTTAAGGAAATTTTTATGTGTTTCTTCTGTGTGGTATGCAAAGTAGTGCCCTCCTCTGTCTTCCCATAAAGTCTTTAGTAAAATTTACAGCAGTACTCTGGGAGTTTGATTTGTGATTTCTTGGATAAGACATGTGAGAGACTGACATGTGAGGGATATATCTATCTGTTCCCCGGCAGACTAAGAGGTCCTCGGCAGAACCCAGCTGTTACTCATCTCCTCACACTTGCTGTGAGAGCACGTAGCATGTGACAAATGAGTGAATGGTAGAGAAGGAAAAGGACATGGTCTCTAGCCCTAGGAGCTCACAGCGCAGTCATGGCCAGAAGACCAGAGGCCAGATAATGAATGGTGAGACAAGAGATGAAGGATGGCCTGCGAGAGGTACAGCCCACAGGACTTCCCGACTACATGAAGAGCTGGCGATGTTGCTGAGGCTTCTACCCAAGTGTCCGAGAGCAGTGGGACCATACCAATGTCCAGAAAAAGCAGGTTGGGGGAAAGCAAGATAAGACGACGAGCTGAGTTTGGCTGATTTGGAATCTGATGTGCTAGGGAGTTAGTTATGTCTGCTAGACTTGGGGAGAGGAAAAGATGGGATTTCTTGGCCAAATGATAGCAAATGCTCTTTAACAGCAGGAAGGCACACGCTGGCAGAGGACTGGCAGTAAGGCTGGACTCGAGCTGACCCCCCACTGTAGGGCCTGGGTCCCAAGGAAGCCAGTAAGAGCACCAAAGCTGTCAAGTGAGTGTGAGGAGGAAAGCTGGAGACACTGGCTGTTCATTTTTGTGAGTGGACAGTGTCTACAATCACAGCCCTGTGGGTCGAACCTACCTGCCTCAGACAGTCTCAGGAGCACAAAGTTTCTTATGCACCTATTCCCAGCTCCCAGGGGCCTGGGAAAGGCAGGGAATCAGCGTGAGCAAATTCACCAACCCTGCCCTCCTCAGTCTCCTCACCTGCTTGTGCAGCCAGCCCCTCACCACCACTGGAACATTAGGATTCCTCCGAATGGCCTGGTCCCTCTTCCCAAAGCTGTGGACTTTATTGCTGGACTTGATCTGGAAAAAAGCAGACTCAAACTTTAGCACCATGGGGGATCTAGCGAAGCATTAAAAAAGCTCTTGTATGATAGGGCTGAGGCTCTTTCTGCCTTGCTCTAAGCGGCAGCCCCCTTTTATCAGAAGAACAGCAAGGACACAGGGAACGGACGTGCACGCAGCCACAGCATTCCAATTAAAAAGCGAATGCAAGACCTAGAGAGCTTGCCTTCTGGGTCACAGAAAGGAAAAAAAATAAAAAACTTTAAAGGGATTTTTCAATCAACATTCACCAGTAGCTGTTGGCCCTAATATAGTCCATGGCTTTCTGGAGCAAAGCTACATTTTTGGTCATACATTTTGCCAATTTCCACATATTTATCTCTCCTACCTGGTTTTACCCCTCAGCATGCTGCCTTCTCTGCAAAACTGGCTCTTTCTCCTGCTCCTCAGTTGGTGCTCCCAATCTTGGGCACAGGAGTTTCTAGGCCCTTTTGTCATGAACCTTACCAGGTGGTTTCTAACACACATGTGAAGCAAGGTGGGCCCTTGGGCCCTCCCAGCCCACACCAGCAGCAGCAGTGGTGGCAAAAGTCTCCCAAGCGTGAATCTGAGGCCCTCGATGTCAATTCTAGCTCTGCCAGCTATCAGCTGTTTTCTTGGACAAGTGACATTTTCTCACTTGGCTCCAATTTCCTAATCTGTCATTTGGGGAGAATACTTCTTACATTTCTCCCTCACAAAAGTACAGGATGGATAGATGGGTTTCTGGTCACACAAGGGCTGACTAAATATGAAAGACAAGAAGGAAGGATGGAACAAGTAGCCAGGAGGAGCTCACCTTGGGGCCAGGCTTGGCCTCCACGGTGGAACTGGTCCCAGCTGTGGACGTCTCACTGACCATGCTGGAAGGTCTTTGGTTTCTCTCTTGCTTCGACATATGTGAATTTGGCCTGTGGGGAGACACAGGGAATCCTGTAAGTGCCGTGCAGCAGTGGGAAATAGAATTTGAGGTTTATTCCAAGTTAGAACTGATTGCTGGGCTTTAGACAACCCAAGACTGAGCCTTCAGAGAGCACCCGATTCCAGACAGCAGACAGTTGTCCAGACCATGATGTCCAGCCTGCCATGAGCTTCAGGAAACTGAGAGGATGACCCACTGGCACTTCTCCACCAGCTGACAGGGTGGTCATCCCTACCTGCTGCCCTAAGTTCCCCACTCACTCTCCTTGGGCGTCTGCACTGCCTTGTCAGGTGGAAAGGAGTCACACCGTTCCTCACAGGAAGAGCAATCCTTCCCCTTACACACACAGACACGTACACCTCCATTTCTCTGGCTCCCCAAAGAAGCTGTTTAAAATTAGTAACAAGAAATCACTTGCGCACACATCCACACCCCCAGATACACACAGAGAATCGCTTACATAAACGCCAGTGGGGCTTGCCTCCCAAAATAGACTACTCAACAAAGAGTCCTATTTTGGGAACACCCCATTTGCCCCAAAATAGAGCCATCAGAGATATTAACCCCTTGTGCCGTGCCTGGAGAGCCGGAAGAAATGAAGCATGCCTGGGTCCCCAAGGAGGATCTCCTCAGAGCTTCCCCGTCAGCCTCCATCAACAGCATGCTTCCCGCCCGGAAACTCCACTGCCCTGGGAGGCCAGCATTCTAGAAACATCTCAGGCTGGCACTTATGAGACACTGGAGAGAACTCTTCTCACCTGCCTCCACAGAGCCCCAGCATTCCCCAGAGTCTTTCAAAGCAGCAGCAGCAGCAGCAGCAGTGGCAAAAGTCTCCACACAAATTCAGTACCTATCCTTGAACAGCTCCATGCCTGGTTCTCAGACCCTGCTAACCCCAGGGTCTATAAGCCTTCCTCAAAGCAGAAGGCCCAGCACTCTGTGGCCGGGTTTTGTCCACTGCGCTGATGGGCAACCAGAACCAGGCAGCTGCAGTAAACTGAGGCTCTTTGCCTGAGTAGAGAAGAATCTGTGTCAGGGCCTGAGCCAGGACCTTGTGGAGACAGAGATGGAGGATCCAGGTAGGACACAGCTGAGGCACAGATACTCTGGATGTTGGTTCGCCAGGCTCACTTTTACAAAGGTGCTCCGAGGAAAAATGCTAGTTTCCACCTTGGAGATAGGCTCCTTCCATTAAAAACCACTTCGGCTCAAAGGATAAGTGATCCTTCCCACGCCCAAAGACAGAGTCCCGATACCCTGTACGATTACAGAAGTTCTTTGCAGAAGTAACTGTGCCCACCGTGCTCCCAGGCTGTGCCCGCTGCAGGACCGCTGCAGTGGACACCAGCTTTCCAAGAGGCTGGGCCCTGCGGACGCTTGGCAGCTGGAGGTGCGAGTCCCACCAGGCAGAAAGATCACTGGCTCCTTATCAGCTCAAGCACTCACTCCAGATTCCCCGCCCCCGGCCTCCATCCCAGGCAGACTTTTGTTACTGCTCCCCACTCAGAGAATGTCATCACGCTCAGCCAGCTCACTGTTGGCAAAGGCTGTGTGCAGTAGGAGATAATCGCAGACCGGGGGTGGGAGGGGGCCCTGAGAGGCTGCCTTGTCCAGGCACTGCCTCCAGGCAGAACTATGTCCAAAACGTCTCCCTGGAACCTGGTCTTGCCTGACATTTCAGATTTCTAGAGGTTTAGACAAGGAAAAAGAGTTCTCTGGTCATCTTGATTAAGGCAGCAGTATCTCTAAGCTAAAATTCAGGACATGAAGTCCAATAATTAGAAAAAGATTTGTTTAGGATTTCCAGTTTAATTCATTCCCATTGAAGACTTGAATAAAGGTTTATTATAGAAAAATTGGGAACTATAAAGGGGGGAAAGCTGAGAGAAAAGAAAATAAATCACTCATAATCCTGCTACCCAGAGGAAAATCATTCTTAAGACTTGATCAATTTACTTTCATTCTTTTTATATAATTGTGATCATACTGTGTTTATTATGATTCTGCATCTTCTTTTTATTTTTTTTAAGGAATTAAGAGCCAGTTTTATTGATCTCAGACCAGGAGTCCATGAAGACCTCTGTGAATTCCTCAATTTTCTTCTCCACATTCTCTTTGGCTTATTTCCATGGCCTTATAAGCTATTTTTCCTTCTGGTAAAGGAGGATCATTTTCTGCTCCTTCCTCTTCTTCTCCAGGGTGGCTGTTACTGCCTAGTACTTACAGGCAACCTCTTGAGCCAGGCGCCCCAGATAGGCACACTTGCTTGTAGGAGTCAGACACACAATCTGGAGGGGGGCAGGAGCCACCTTCTCCTTGTCATTAGGGTAATGGGATCTCATAGAACACCTTGAGATGGTCCAGGGTGACCTGACCCCCCTCAGTTTTGTGGAGCAGCATGCAAAGACACAGCTGGGGACTCTGCAGTGGAAGGGGCTGCAAAATGGGTTGGTATATATCTGCTTGCAAATGAAAGTGAAGTCTTTCAACTTGGTCCTACAGAAATTGCTAAAAATGTGGATACCCTCCCAGCACAGGAACATGGCATTCCATCCCAACAGCATCCACTTGACCACCAATGGCCAGCAGTGGCCTACGAAATGGCAGTGACATTGAGCAGCAGGAACTGCCCTTCTGCCATCTTCAGCAGCTGCCTCTATAATTTTATATCTTTATTTTTTTTAATTTACTGAAATATAAATACTTTCTCAATTATTTTAAACGCATCCAGATCATTGCAGATTAATGTATCACATTCCATCAACTAGATATGCCATTCCTCCTCTGTAGGACAAAGCAAAGACTATCTGGATTTGTGACTGGCCTGAGAAGTCCAGGACTGATGGCCACTTTTGACATTTCTGCACCTTATGATCTTCAGTTCTATCTTTCATCATCCTCCACATCCTAACCCATGTCCCCTCTGCACACTGGCTTCCGGGATGCTGGATGGCCAGGGTGCTCCTCCTGAGCAATAGCTGGGAAAAAAGATGACTGTGCCACAGCCTTGGGTAGGTGAGGAAGAAGGGTGTGACCACCACCCAGGGGGGCAGCTGTGAACAGATTCCAATACTGGACATCAGTGAGGGACAGTGGTGTGCAGGTAGGGAAAGAGAACAAATCTCGGAGACAGCTCCATTCCTTTTGACTACAGGGACCTCTGCTCAGCCACACCCAGAAAAGCTGACTTATTAGGAGATATAACTACGTCCAAACTCAGACTGCTCCAGGGAGGAGACATGTTGTCTCTACAAACAGGAAACATGTCCTCACCAGGAATCCCCCTGGGCAGGAACAGCTTCCAATTCAAATGGTAGATGCGACCATTACCTGGCAGCCAGGTCAGCCTGGCTCTTTAAATGAATAAGGTGTACGGAGGAACCCACTCAGCCAACATCTGCCCTCAGAGGATATTTCCTCTGCATGTCAGCATAGGAAATGATCTAACTACAAGTTATCTGAATTACAACTAGTTAAAGAAACAAAAACAGAGGTGGTGATCACGCTTAGGACACCATTTGGTACCCAAAAATGAGGATATGACAAAGTTTCAAAAATAATGTCTTTGAAGCAGGAGTTAAAGTCTCAGTGCTATCAAGCTATCACTAGCCACTGCAGCAAGAGTTCCATCCCCCGCCAGGGAGCTAACCCACATGGCGCAGCAGACCTCTCCTGTCTAGCCTGCTACTCCCCTCAGCAGTGTATTTCAGTACATCTGCCTGTTCTGCTCCCCAGTCTGTCTCTGGTGATTCCTCTCACTGCCTGCATCTCTGGACTGGAACCCAGTGCTTGTATGCATAAATAAATAAAAATAAATCTTTAATAAAAAAATAATGTCTGCTTAGCAGAAAAACTGGCACTGGTGGAAACCACTAGAAGTCATCTTAGCATACCGTTTTGAGCAACGGGAGCATTAATGGGGCATGTGTGTAGCATCCTGTCTCTTCAGGAAAGGGTCATCATTCACCTGGAGGTGTGTACCTTCTGGCACATTGGCTTCAGGCTCCTGCAGCCACATTGCTACTGAGCAGCCTGGAGGGTCAGACAACACTGATTTGCCCTTGACTCCTCAGAGGGGAGATATTCTCCTGACAGGTTTCACCCAAGAACCACCCCCTCTCCCAGAAAAGAGCTGTGCCCCAGAGCTGAGAAACTGGCAGGCAGCAACGTTCCCAGCAGCATGCCCTCAGGCATGTGAGTCACCCGAATCTCAGGAGAGGAGACCAAAACACCTGCACACACTATGGGAAGACAAACTCTTGGTATCATTACATAAAATCTATTAAGTTAAAAGCCTGTTTGCCGGGTTTCTGTGCTATCTGGATTCCCAAAATACAGTGGGATGATTTGAACAAAGACTTCCTTTCCTTGACTTGGGCTACATGAATGCTGATTATTCTGCTGGAGGGCTGTGGGCTGAAGTTCAAAACAGTGAGCCATAGTTTTAACTCAGTGCCTCCCATCTGAAAGGAACAAAAGCAGGTAGGACTAGACAAAAGTCAGTCTGGAGAAGCCCAATAAGAAAGTGATTTCATTCTATCCTGATCTTCATCAAGGATGTGTCAAGTAAGGCTGGGCAAGAAGTCACTGCCTATGTCCCTCAATTTCCCCTCTGATAAAAGGAACCATTTCTGCCTCCTACACATCCGGGATCAAATGCACAGACGCTGACAGATACACTAAGAAAGAGGTTGTAAATTCAGAAGCCGCTTTTTCAGTTGGTGTGAATTTAGCCACGTTTGGTTAATGAAATTCTTGGCTGTCTCTCATTCAATGCTGTGAACTGGAGTGGACCGCAGTGAGGTCACAGCAAGACCCTTTCCCACCCTATCCCTGTCACAATAATTAGGTCACCAAGACAAGTGTCACCAACCCTTAGGGACAGTCACACAAGGTCAAGCAAATGGAGGGACTGGGCCAAAATTGTTGAGCACTTACTGTGTGCCAGGCACTATGTCTTCAATATCTGTCTTACTGTCTCTGTTTTAT